CTTTCCTTTCCAAGTTCCTGGAACAAGTCGTTGCTTCCCATCTTCACTCCTTCCTCTTCCACCACTCACTTCACGATCCCCTCTAATCGGGTTTCCGTGCCTCCCACAGCACAGAAACAGCCTTGTTCAAAGTGACAAATGACATTCTGTCCATCTGCAACCAGGGCTTCCTCTGCCTCCTCGTCCTCCTTACCTTTCTGCTGTCTTCGACACTGTCAACCACTATCCTCCTCTACTGCCTCTACTCTCACCTCAACCTTCATGGTTCTGTCCTTGAATGGTTCAGATCCTACCTTTCACAGCGCCTCCACTTCATCTCCACAACCGTCTTCTGCTCTAGCCCCCGCACCGTCTTGTGTGGCATTACTCAGGGCTCTGTCCTTGGTCCCCTCCTCTTCAATATCTATATGCTCCCTCTTGGTGACATCATCCGTAGACACGGGGTCAATTTCCACATGTATGGGGATGACACCCAACTCAATCTCTCTGCCTCCAGTCTCGACTCCAGGACCACTGCTGTCCTGACAGAATGTCTGTCAGACATCAAGTCCTGGATGAGAGCTAACTTTCTACAGTTGTACTTCAACAACCGAGGCTCTCCTGATTGGTTCCCATCACCACCTCCACACCTCAGGCGCTGACAGTATCACCATCCATGGTGCACACTCCACCTTACTCCATCTTATTTGACCCGCAACTATCCTTTCTACCCTACATCCGTGCCATGATCTGCTCTGCCCTCCCCCACCTCCGCAACATCGCCCGGCTCCGCCACTGTTTCACACCGCAGTCCACTGAGACCCTCGTACAAGCATTCATTACATCCAGGCTTCACTATGCAAACTCCCTGCTTGTTGGCCTCCCCAACTCTTCCCTCCATAGGCTGCAGATCATCCAGAACTCTGCATCCTGTGTCATCTCCCGCACCATGCTCTGTGACCCTATCACCCCCATCCTTGCCCAACTCCACCGGCTTCCCATCACACAGAGGATACAGTTCAAGACCCTGGTCCTCACCTTTAAAGCCCTCCATGGTCTTGCTCCCCACTACTTCTGCGACCTTCTAACCCCCTAACAACCTACCCACTCCCTCCACTCAACGGGCTCTGCCTGCTTCATGTCCCCTGCCTCGCCCACCCCACTCTGCCTCTGGAACTCCATCCCGCCATCCCTTCACCTCACCCCCCTCCCTTGCCTCCTCCAATATCCGTCTCAAGACCCTCCTCTTTGACTGTGCCTTCAGTCATCCTCCTTTCCCCGTCCTCCACCCTCCCCAATCCCAACCCCCAGCTCAGGCCTGAAACACTGACTGTCCAGCGCCTTGTGACTAGGGACTCCAGGATGGAGTTCCAGAAAATGGGGGCAACTAGGCTGAAAACCAAACTGCTAATGTTGGGGCAGGCAGGGAAGGGAATATGAAGCAGGTTGTTAAGGTTTAAGAAGGCCGCAGAGATAGAGTGGGGCAAGACTGCGGAGGGCTTTAAAAATGTGTAGGAAGATCTTGAACTCAACCTCTGGGGGATGGGGAACAGTTAGGCCAAAGAGGATGGGAGTGATAGGCTGACGGAGGGTAATGCAGGAGAGGACATGAACTGCAGAGTTCTGGACGGTCTGCAGGTGGTGAAGGGAAGAGAGGGAAGTCCCATGAGCAGAGAGTTGGAGTAGTTTAGTCTGGACGTGATGATTTATACAGGAAATATACAGGACAATGCCCAAAGCCAAACCGGAACATTTACCCGTTCAGTTGGACATTAAAGATCCCATGACTCTATTTGAAAAGAGAAGGGAGTTTCTCCTGGTGTCCTGACCAACAATCCCCCATATAAACACTGCTGTGCTCAAATTGGCTGCAGATTTTCCTCCAAAAATACAGTCACTCCACTTCACAGTGAATCTTGTGAAAAGCTTTGAGACATCATCCTGACAAGGAAGGCCCTACATCAAACGCAAAGATTATTATTATTACAACAAAAATTCTTTTATAGAGAGCCTTTCACGTCGGGAGAACGTCCCAAGGCACTGGACTGTCAGGAGTCAGGATTTGAGCATGGGGGAGGAGTGGGGTAGGGGTGAGGGAAGGCAGAGAGGTGGGAGGGTGACTGAAGGCATGATAGAAGAGGAGAGGCTTGAGACCGGCCTTGAAAGAGGCAAGGGAGGAAGCGAGGCAAAGGGACTGTGGGATGGAGTTCCAGAGTCTGGGGGCAGAGAGGCTGAAAGCCCGGCCACCAATGGTAGAGCGGGTCGGGCGGGAGACATAATAATAATAATAATCCTTGCATTTGATATAGCGCTTTTCACATCGGGAGGACGTCCCAAAGCTCTTCACAGAACACACTGTAAAGTGAATTGACTGTATATTTGTGGGCGAACGCGGCAGCCAATTGCGCACAGCAATGTCCCACAAACAGTGGTAGATTGAAAATGATCAATTTATTATTGTTTTGGGTTTTGGAGCGATTATTATTAGGCTCTGTGTGGAGTAAGGAAACTTGCCCAAGGTTTCGCTCTCTGCCTGGAATTGAACTCAGGTCTCTCGCTTGCAAAGCGAGTGCTCTAACCACTGAGCTACAGGACTCCACATGGAGCAGGCCAGAGCCCGATGAACGGAGGGAGCAGGCAGGTTGGTAGGGAGTCAGCAGATCAGAGAGGTAGGAGGGGGCAAGGCCATGGATGGCCTTGAAAATGAGGATGAGAATCTTGAATTCAATCCTCTGAGGGATGAGGAGCCAGTGGAGTCGGGCGAGGGTGGAAGTGATGGGGTCACGGAGCCAAACAACATTAACTGGAAAACAGAATGAATAGATAAGCACTTGGAATGAAATAACACAACACATAATGCCAATGTGGTACCCTCAGAATAAATTAACTTTGTCTAGGAGCATATTTTCCAGTATTTATCATTTTAATACTTTATCAGACCTTTCAGTGCAGTATACTTCTAATGTTTTTCCATGTGTAATTTGGTAACTAGTCAGTGAAGATTATATGATGCTGATTGCTAAAAACAGCAATCATTTCATTATACATTTATAATGGAATTGGAAATCTTATTATAACGACACAACAAAAAGATCTCTACAGGTACTTTTCACGATCAGCATAAATAGACACCAATGTCATTTTTGCAGCTTCTATCCCTTGTTTGCAGAAGTTCAAATGCAGAGTTGACCATTGCTTGTTGGATTATATAGGTACCAATGGAAATTGTGGTTTGATTACTGACCCTCTCAATCCAATTGATCTCCAAACCAGGAGGGTCAAACTTGTGTATTCTCAGTTATCTTTAAATTTAGGCTGCCGTTATCCAACTGAGTTAAAAAGACAGCTTACTTTTGGAAAGGTTTTGATAACTTTTTTCTATTGTCTACAAATACATGATGGAACGCTGCAACGTAACATATCATCGTATTACTTTTCAGTGATGTTACGATGATAAAATAACATTTCTCCCCTAAAAAAATTAAAAGTTTTCAAAACACTTTTTCGAGCTGTTTTAAAAAAGTACATGGTAAACAGCTTATGATGGGCCAAATGGTATTCTCCTTTACTGCAAATTTCTATGTTTCTAGCCCAACCCTCAAATTTTGTACACTGGTAAAGCAACCTGAGAAATACAGGGCAATCCTGTTATATGTTTTGGATCAAAAATATTAAGCACCGCAAAATACCACATTACATTGGGTCCATAAAGAAAATGGCTTCTGCACCATCAGGTTGACCCTGATATTACTTCCTGTGACCTGTGCAGGTACACTATGTGCAAGGCGCAGGAAATGACATTAGCTGCAACTTGATCAGTTGTATATGTCAGCCTGGCTCAGTTGGTAGCATTCTTGCCTTTGAGATTGTGAGTTCAAACCCCACTTCAGCATTTTAAATCACAGTCTAAAGTCCAATAAAGTGCTGGGAGATGTTGTCCTTCGGATGAGACATTAAACTGAGGTCCCTTCTGCCTGTTCATGCGGACACTAAAGAAAATCCCATGGCGCTATTCAAAAAGTATCTCCTGGTATCCTGGCCCAAAAAGATCCCTAGGATAAAATTGGTCATTTACTTCATGGCTGTTTGTGGGACACTGACAAATCCGTGTTTGCCTACGAAATAAAGGCACACTTTACAGTAAATCCTGTGAAGTGCTCAGAGATGTCCTCCCAGTGTGAAAGCCCTAGATCAAATTCAAGAACTTTTAACTCAACAGTGTCAAAGACGATCATTTTCAGGGTGAACTTTCGCTCAACTGGGTGCAAACAAGTCTACTGGAGGTCCCCCTGTGCATCAAATTATCATCCCCAAAGTCTACAAATCCATTTGAAGGTCAGCTACTACATTTTCAGAGTGCCCTCAATTTTAAAAGGAAAACTTCTCAAAGGGTATTTTGAGAAACCAAACCAAGCTGAGAATTCATGCATCCCTGCTACTCATGGAAAACCCAGAGATAGGTTACTGGAAAGGAATGCGCACTCTCTCCCTGGAGGGACGCATCCTGCTTACCTAATTCCACAAAGTATTACGCGCCAGTTGGCAAGTCTAACTAAACCCGCATAGCTTGCCATTGATATTGCTGTCTGACAAACTTTCCCGTTACTTGTCCGGCTGGGACCACCCAACCCGTGAGGGCTTCGGCTTGCAGGGTTAACGGGAGCTGAGTGGATGACTCTCTGCCCCCAGTGACTGGTCTGTCAGAGGAGCCCGGCTGGAGTAGTAGCCTGGAATACTGCGGACCCGCTTGGCTCAGGAACCAGACTAGAGACGGTCACGGAGGGCTGTCTCAAGCCCTACACTCATTGCCAGGCATGTCACCTTGGTGCCAGGTCATCTCCAAACAGCCCCTGAGTGCTGCTCCACCAGCACCGCCCCCACTGGCCCACAGGGGCTTTGCGCGGTGGAGCGCGGCTTCTGGTAGTGACGACACAGAGAGGCAACTGTTGCGTCAGCTGCGTCGCAGAAAGGAGGGGTCCGCGCTCGGAAGCGCTGACGTCAGGTGCGCTCACGCGGTGTCGGTTGATGACCGTTGGTGGCGCTCGCGCGGTGTCGGTTGGTGACGTTTGCCTTTGGACGGACTCGTTTGTCGGATGCATTCGCGGCGCCCGCACGCCTTCGCCGGCGGCCTGAGCTCCCGGGACTACGGGGATGCATCGTCGGACGGCTATCAGCGCCAGGCCCCCGCGCCGCCGTCCGCAAGGTCATCGGACTACTGCACGGACGACTGGATAACCGAGGGCCGGTTCCGGGGACAGGCGGCTGGGCCCTGGGGGGAGAGACCGCCCTACAGTGCAGGGGCGGCGGCGACAGATACTGCGGCGGAAGGGGCGGCGGGCGCTGCCCTTCCCGAGAAGGCGACAGGATCTACCGGCGAGTATTTGGGGGGGGGAAGCACGAGGGGTTCGTCAGCCCGGCCTTTCGGTTGTGAGTCGATAAAGCGGCTGGAGGGCCTTGATCAGGCCCTGACCCTGAAATGGGGAGGAGTCCGCCCACACAAATCCCCGGGGCTCGCGTTTGACTTTTGCAGTGGCTGCGCGCAGCTGTTTTTTTTTAAAACTATGCAGTACAGGAATAATAATAATAATAATAATAATGCAAGGATTATTATTATTATTACGGGCATGTGTCCGCCTGGCTTGGCTGGGAGGGCTCTTGCCTCTTGAGCCGGAGGGCAGTGGGATCCGGCTCCCACGTCTGGATGTGTCGGCGAGACTGACGCGCCAGTGCAGTGCAGTGCAGTGCTGAGGGAGGGCTGCGATGTCGGCGATGCCGTCCTGTGGATGAGATGTTAAACTGAGGAAACAAAACCACAGCAGTCGCCGGGAGCGCTCAGCAGGTCAGGCAGGCGGTCATCTGTTGGAGAAGCGAAAGTGTGAGTCAACGTTTCGGGTCCACGGTCCTTCCCTCAGAACTGGGCCATGTTGGGAGGGAGAGGCTCACGGAGGGGGGGGGGGGGGAGGAGGCGGGGCAGGGGAGACACAGGAGAAAATGGGGTAGAGGACAGGGAATGATGGGTTAAATGGGTGTTAGTGATGCAAAACAAAGTTGGGGGGGGATTGCAACAAAACAGGGAGACCAGACTGCCTGCCCCACTCTCTGTTAAAACCCTCTCCCTCCCAACGTGCCCCAGTGCTGACGAAGGGTCGTGGACCTGAAACGGTGACTCAATTTCCCTACTCCATAGATGCTGCCTGACTTGCTGAGTGTTTCCAACTACTTATGTTTTTGTATCAGGTTTCCAGCATCTGTAGTATTTTGCATTTTGTTAAACTGAGCACTCCAGGTCTGGCACTCCAGGTCTGGTAGATAAAATTATTATTCACTTCCTGGTTGTTTTGTGGGGAAATTACTGTCTGCAAAATACATGGTTACTTCACTTTACAGTGAAATGCTTAGACATGTTTTGATGACATGATAAGCTACTATATGAAACTAATGAGACCTTCTGTTTCTTCCTCTCCCCCACTTATTTCTGTGGAATAAAAGTTTTAATTAGCAACAAACATCAAATCTTGAACCCCAAACATCAATCCTGCCCCTGCTTTGTTTTGACAAAACATAATATAATAATCCTTGCATCAAATGCAAGGATTATTATATTATTATTATTAGAGAAGGGTGGAAGTCAAGGGGGGGTGGAGAGTAAACAGTGGAAAGGCATTCAAAGATTTGCCTATTCATTTTAATTTCTAATCACTCCTGCTGTTGTAATCAATTATATTTTGTAAATTGCTTTGAGACATACATAGAAAGTGAAAGTTTCGATGTAAATGAAAGATTTTATACAGGGTAACTCCACCCCTTTATAATGTGATGTTTTATGTGCATTAAAATAAAGTATAATTGGTCCATGAAAAAAATTGTTCCCCAGTTTCAGTTGCAGGTCATTGGACTGCAGGTTTGGCTTCCTGCATGGCAGATCATGGCAGCTTTCACATTGAACCTCTCAGAGCACTTCACAGTGATGATGCCAGTTGCTGAGAAGAGAGGAGGGTAAAAGGGGAGGTGACCATCAATTTAGTCGGACGTAGATTTTTAGGCAGGATTTAAGGACTAGTGGTGAATATTCGTGGCGAAGGAGATGTATATGATCTGGAGGTTGGGTGGGTAGTTTCTAAAGTTGCTGGCTACTGATGGCGAGGTGGTGGATATGCAGTGGGCCTCAGCTTAGCAAGCAGAGGGGCCAAGTAGAAGAGTGAGGTAGGAGATCACTGATATAGGGAGGTGGTCAGGCATAGAGAAAGTTTATATGTGACCTGCATTGAAGTAATTGAAAAGCGGTCAAATGTAATATTTGTTCTTCAAAGTAAAAATATTTAAAAGCAGAAGATCATTTGAGGTGAGGTCTGTTATATATTTTAAACATGCAGATACTTGAGGTTAAGTGTGGTTAATCTGTTTGCTAACATTTGATCCTAACTTCATTGTAGACTCAGTTGATGGCAAACTTATTTTAGTATTTCTTCAGAATGTCATTCATATCATGTCATTCCCCAGGTGTCTGGGGAAGACGGGTTTGGAGGGTTATGGGGAGAAAGCTGGTGATTGGGGTTAGTGAAAGTGACTTGCTCTGTCAAAGAGCCGGCACAGACTCGATGGGCCGAACGGCCTCCTTCTGTGCCGTAACATTCTATGAATCTATATAGATGAGATTATTGCTGGCAAGTATCTTGATTACAGATCAAAGGCTAATTACAGTGGTTTTCTTTTTGTAACAATAATCCTTGCATTTGATATAGCACTTTTCATGTCTTCTTGTCATCTCAAGCACTTCACTGAATGTACTGTAAAGTGAATTGACTGTATATTTGTGGGTGAAACGCAGCAGCAGTGTCCCACAAACAATCGTGGATTGAAGTGACCAATTTTATTACTTTTTTTGGGAAGGACTCACTTAAAAATAGCAGACACATACAACAATAGCATGGCCCTGATTCAGCTTTTAATGTCTTACCTTTAGTTCTTCCTAAATGGTCCTTCTACTTCAAGATAATCTTGGAAGTAAAGGACAACCCCAGGTTCCTATTCTCCACCTCCAACCGGCTCCTCTATCCACCCTCCCACACCTCGCCCATTCCATTCTCTTCTCAAGCTCTGACTGAGGAGACACTGGATTTTCTTGAGTCCAAAATCGAGGGGATCCGTTCAGCTGCCTCCGCTCTCCCAACCGATACACCCTCCTCATCTCCCCCCTCTCACTCTGACCACGACCCATCCCTCCCTCCACATTTTCAAATCTGTCTCCCCCTCCTCTCTCAACACCACCATATCCAGCATGAAATACAACACCCGCTCCCTCGACTCCATCCCCACCTCTCTCCTTACCTCCCAGCTCCAGCTCCTTGTCCATCTACTCTCCGACACCATCAATCTCTCCCTATCATCTGGCACTGTTCCGACCTCACTAAAAACAGCTATAATCACCCCCATTCTGAAAAATTCTTCCCTGGACCCATCCCTGCTTTCCAACTACCGGCCCATCTCCAACCTCCTTTTTCTTTCCAAGGTCCTTGAAAGAGTTGTTGCTTCCCAACTTCATTCCTTCCTCTCCTACCGCTCCCTTTATGAGCCCCTGCAATCAGATTTCTGTGCTGCCTACAGCACGGAAACTGCTCTGGTCAAGGTCACAAATGACATTCTCTCCATCTGTGACCGGGGCTCCCTCGTCCTCCTCGACCTCTCTGCTGCCTTTGATACCGTGGACCACTCCATCCTCCTCCACCGCCTCTCCTCTCGCCTCAACCTTCAAGGATTTGTTCTTGAATGGTTCAGGTCTTACCTCTTACACTGTCTCCAATTTGTCTCTGTCAACGGTTTCTCCTCCAGCCCCCACACAGTATTGTGCAGTGTTCCTCAGGATTCTGTCCTCGGTCCCCTCCTCTTCAACCTCTACATGCTTCTCCTTGGTGAAGTCATCCGCAGACATGGGGGCAACTTCCAAATGTACGGGGAGGATACCCAACTCTTATCTCTCTGCCTCCACCCTCGATTCCTGGACAGCTGATGTCCTGACAGACTGTCTATCAGACGTCAAGTCCTGGATGAGAGATAACTTTCTACAGCTGAGTGTCAGCAAGACACTCCTGATTGGCTCACGCCAGGGCCTGCATCCACGGATGCACACTCCACCACACCACACCAAGCTAGTTAGGAACCTGAGCATCTTGTTCGACCCTCAACTGTCCTTCCTCCCCCATATCAGTACCATAACCCCACCTTCTCCCGCCTTCCCCCATCTCCGCAACATTACCTGACTCCGCCACTGCCTCACCCCTCAGGCCGCCAAAACCGTCATACACATGCATTCGTCACCTCAAGGCTCGACTCCAGAAACTCCCTTCTTGTCTCCCCAGTTCTTCCCTCCACAAGCTGCAGATAATAATAATAATAATCCTTGCATTTGATATAGCGCTTTTCAGGAAACTTGCCCAAGGTTTCGCCCTGCCTGGAATTGAAGCCAGGTGTCTCACTTGCAAAGCAAGTGCTCTAACCACTGAGCTACAGGACTCCATCATCCAGAACTCTGCAGCTCGTATCCTCTTCCGCACTAGGCTCCGTGACGCAATCATCTCTACCCGCACCCGGCTCCACTGGCTTCCCATTACACCAAGGATACAATTCAAAATCCTTGTCCTCACTTTCAAGCCCTCTTTGGCTTTCCCCCTCCTACCTCTCTGACCTGCTGAGCCCCTGTCCGCTCCCTCCGTTCAGCAGGTTCCGGCCTGCTTCACGACTCCCACCCTGCCATTGGCGGCTGGGCTTTCAGCATTTCTGCTCTCACCCTTTGAAACTCCATCCCTCAATTCCTTTGCCTTGCTCCCTCCCTTGCATCTTTGAAGGCATGACTCAATACCCTCCTTTTCGACCAGGCCTTCAGTCTATCTGCCCTCCCTCATCCCAACTCTGTCACCCCACGTTTGGGTCCTGATCCCCGACTGTTCAGCGACTTGGGATGTCCTCCCGACGTGAAAGGCACTTTATAAATGTAATTTTGTTGATGTTGTTGTGACTGTTCACAATCTTATTTTTATGAAAGATTATTACTAATCCATGTGAAAGCCTCAATTGCGAATAATTACAACCTTAAAAAATGTGTTTCTTGATTCCTTGGAAAGTTAAAAAATACTATCATTGTGTGAGATGGGATAAAGGAGAGAAAGGGACAGGATTGTCAGGGACAGAGAAGAATTCTGGAGTGAGGTGAACATTGGCAATGGGGGTTGGAATAGAAGCAAGAATGAATTTGCATTTTTATAGCACTGTTAACAACTTGGAATTGTACAGCCTCTTCATGTGGGATAGTGTCTCGGGAGTGCTCAACAGTGGTGGACCTTGATGCCAAACAAGAGAGAGGAATATGACCATAGGCA